TTTTCTTTGTAGGTAGGTAAATTCTTTAATATTCTGGTATCAGATGAGTTACTTTGTGGGTGTTTCGAAGGGCCTAAACCTTAGAATTAAAAAGTAGAGTTCGACAAAAGATATACTTTGTAAGAGAACATATTGACGCTACCTTCTAACAGAAAGTATGTCAAGTAGTCAATTGGTTCATCCGGGTTCATATCGTACTTGAAGCAAGAATATTGTATGTAAAAATCGAAAAAGCACTTTGTCAGTTTATTTCAATATGTCGTTGGTGGCGTCGTATAAGCTGTGAATCGTTGATATCCGATTTAAAAACTTAAAAACTAAAGCCGAACCTCTTTTCCTTTTTCAAGTTTCTCTAGCTTCATTGTCTGTACTATTGATAATGACTTTTCAGTCGAAACAATTGTCGAGTGTTTATTAAACCCCTTGTTGAAACAGTTACTCTTTTATTATTTTATTTATTTTTTAGTTTCGTTTATAATAGTACATAAAATAAACAAAATGCTTTGTCAGCCTTCAAAATAATTCATTTAAATATCAAAAATTAATTATTTATTTACGTATAACTAAAAACAGAAGAATGTGTTGTTGTAACAAAATGTCATGCGTAGTGTCTACAGTCTCTATTAGAAAAATAATTTAACAAAATAGGGGATCGAATATTTGGATAGCAATTAGTGTCGGAAAGAGAATTAGTAAACTGAAACAACTAAAATTGTCGTCAAACTTTAGACACGTATTACCCAAAATTTTACACTTTAACTAAAGGCTATTGCAAATTGGGGTAGCATCTTTATTATGATTCCACATAATGCGAAAATGTAATACTAAGTAAATTAATGAAAGCGACTGATTTATTATATGTAAAATTGTAAATGACGTAGGGCAACTAACTCACTAATATTAATTTTACAGCCAATTCACATTTACGCTCCTTGACACTATCAATCTCGGTTTTATAATAGTATATCATCAAGATTATAAATAATGATGCATTCTTTATAATCTGTCTTTTTACTAGATTAATTTTTTACTCAATACCCTCCGATTTTGCGCTGTTTCGGTGAAAATGAAAGCACAGCAGCTTTTTCCTGGGACAGTTAAAACAACTGTACTGTACGAAAATGGATAAGCAAAATTTGCATACTTTGTAAATGTGTACATCAAAATTCTCGGATAAGTTTTAAAGAGAAAACTTTTTTATTCCCGAAATAAACATGTTCAGTCTCTAAGAGTCTCTGAAAGCGAGACCCGAATCTCCGTCTCTCATCGAATTTCCCTGGTGTGGGTGAGAGACTGTCAAAAAAAAAAAAACTGTTTAGCGTCTCTGAACGAGAGACTCGAGTCACTCATAGAGATCCTCATTTCGTATCCAGTCTCTGAACGAGAGACTCGAATATCTGAACGAGAGACGCGAATCTCTCAATAAGTGGTGTCTCGATAGACATCGTTCAAGTCTCCGTCTCGCATCGAGTCTCTCTGGTGTCGCTGAAAGAGACTGTCAAAAAAACTGTTTAGCGTCTCTGAACGAGAAACTCGAGTCGCTCATAAAGAGATTCTCATTTCGTATCTAGTCTCTGAACGAGAGACTCGAATCTCTCAATAAGTGGTGTCTCGATAGACATGGTTAAAATTTTCTAAGTTCAACATATTTCAGAGATCCCAGTCTTTCTACGAGAGACTTGAGTCTCTCAATTTTTCAGTTATATTCTTTCAGTCTCTCTGTGAGAGACTCGAATCTCTCAATTAACAATTTTAACGTTCCAGTCTCTCATACAAAGACTGTGAGAGATCCATAAAAACACCTAGGCAATAACTGAGAGACTGTGAAAGATTGTCAGAGACGCTCTCAGAGACGCTGAAAGACTCTGAAAGGCTGAGAGACTACAGAGAGACTGAAAATTTTTGTCTAGGGTTACAACCACTTGGAAGCAACAGTCTGGATAATTCAATGGCTTCAAGAGTGATATCCTGTTATAACAATTTACTGGTACAAGCCAGCTTCTAATCGGGAATTCCCGCTAGCATTAAGAGTATAAAGAAAAGTCCCTATTGACCCTGTACATAGTTACTTACCGTTCGGTCGTAGTAGTTGCCTGTATTTCGAAAGAAAAGCCCAGCAATAAGTGCGGCAATGTTGGCGGTGTAGCTGGCAACGAAAATAACAGAGAAACCGCCCCAAACGTTGATTAAGAATTTATTAGGCCAGCTCTTCGGTGCCTTGAACGCGACCAAATGTCCGCACAACAGTCCCCACATAACCCAAAGCGCCGAGCTCATACTGAAATTTTTCGACCGTTGCCGCCCCCAAGGGTTCAATCCGAACGGCGAGAGCCATTCGTAGATGGCCACGGCGATAGCTGTTATGTTCAGACTTGTGAAAATTGCTATCCACAGTTCCGTGGAAAACGGCAAAAGGAAGGCCATTAACGGTATCTCGGACTTTTGCTGCGGCGCCGCCAAAGACGACACGCCCGCAAAAAAATACGGCACACTAAAGTCTATCACTTCGCTGCGAACACTCGAAACACTTAGGGCCGCGAATGACATATGGGCCGCCTCCGACATAAGGTCTCCTACAATACCATTCCATTTCACTTCCACCCTATTACCACCATTCACAACATCCCCCGTTGTCACTTGTTCTTTCTGGAATCGGTTCACCCAGAAACTTCGTCCAACGTCTCGGCGAGTTTTCTTGTCGCTGACTACCTTGGACCCAAATAATCCGTCAGCAACGATGTAAAGGTGGAAGTCAAATTCGAGTTCGTGGGCAATGTTCTCCAGGAGATCCATTGACAAACCGTAACAACAGTTGGTACGATATTTGTACTTGTAGAACGGGTGGAAGCGCTCGCTGGACGCCAAATGCTGGAAGTGTCCGAAATGTCCGAACGTTTTGGCTTCTTCATGCTCTTCTTCTAACTTGTCGAGTTCGTTGAAGACAAGGGTAAGATTGTCCTTATCGTGTGTTAGGACGCGGTGACACGGAAGACCTGCAATACGTACAACTAGAAAGCGACAAATAGAACTAAAGATTTAATTAAAACTTGTAGTACCCATCTACTGTTGTAACAAAAAAGTTGCAAGAAAATTCCAATTATCCTAGCGTAGCTCAAGGCTTTAGACGATATCTTTTACTTTCTTGTCATTTACTAGTAGAAGAGTACATTTTCATTCTTTAAATACATTATAGAATAAATGTAGTTGGTAAGTTTTGTTCTTAGGATAATAAATCTAGATTTCTCAGTTAAAACTGGATTTCGCATCTTACAATTAGTATTTGCCCTTGGTTCAGCGCAACGTTCTAAAATTGCTGCAGTCAAATTACCATTTATCAGAAGTCCCGAGGGTACTAACTGTCGTTTATCTGCCTTTTAGTTGGCGCAAATTCTGATTGAGAAACAATTATTAAGATATCACTGGAGAATTACACGAACAATTCTCATTTAGTCCATCAGGATTAAATCGCTACAACGTTAAGCTTCATAATCAATAATAATGTTTTGTTTGCTAATCATATTTACTTAAAAATCAAATAGGGAATTGAAAATGCTTACAAAAAGAATCTACAGATAACATAATTCTTTGTTTTTCAAAAGGATCAATGACCACTGAAGTAGAAAATTCAGTTGTAAACAGAAACTTCTCGATTCATTGGAATTATTTACAAAACCCAAAGTTCAAAGTAATCTCGTGAAATAGGTAATACCCTTGTATGCATGTCTCTTGAAGATTCTTTCTTATTTGTGCGAAAAGAAAATTGAATTTTATTCCAGAAGATTTCCTTGTTTTAATGCCCACTGCGATTTATAAAACAGTATTGTAGAAAATAAATAATAAAAGTAAAATGAAAATACTGGTATACAAGGGAAGAACAAGTAGGGAAATAGGGATTATAAAGGTAGGAAACGATAAATTAGAAGAACTGACTGATTTTCGGTATCCAAGAAGTCAGGTAAGTCAGGATGGAAGGAGTAGCAGGGATATAAAGCAAAAAAGCTTGAGAATGGTTAATTTAGAAATTTGAAAAAGATTGTGAAAGGTGTATGTTTAGAGCGTGGCGTTGTACGGGTGTGAAACATGGACGGTGGGCGCGGTGGAAAAGAAAATGTTAGAAGCGTTCGAAATGTGGTGTTACAGATGAATGATAAGAATAGCGTGGATAGAGAGATAGGTTATAAATGAAGATCTATTAGAAAGAATAGGAGACAGAGGACCCTATGGAAGTCAATAAAAAATAGGCGAGATAGGATGGTAGGACACCTTCTCAGGCATGAAGGTCTAGTTAGAGACATATTAGAGGCAGAAACAGGAATTAAGAGGGGTAAGGGTTTATTTAAATCAGATT